CCCCAAAACCCCAAAACCCCAAAACCCCAAAACCCCAAAACCCCAATTTTTGGATAAAAATGATAATATTAACACAATTTTAAATTCAAAAGATGCTTCAATCTGAAACAGAATGAAGAATCAAACCAAGGAAGTTACCGCAGAAAATTGCTGGTAAAGACAACCTTGAGGATAAAGCTACATGACCAACATTATCTGCAAAAAGAGTTAAAAAAATGTCTAGATTTTATGACATAAAAATAATTTCACTTCTTATATTTCTGATGATGTTTTGAACTCATTCGGTATTGTGAGGTCCTATTACAGGAAGTATATCTTTTGAGCCAACCACTATCAGATCAGGGGCGGTCTATAGATTTGACTTCACGTCATCAAGGCTTTATCAAAGTGGAGAGGTAACTTAATTCGTTATTTTTAAATAATCTTACTTTTAGACCTTAGTTATCTCTTTCCCAGCTGCAGATTACGATCTATCCACTGTTACAACCATTACTTGCACAATTTTATCAGGAATACCTACTAATGGAATCACCTGAGCCTTGGATACATCAACAAGAAATTTGACGGTTACTTTTATTGCTCAGACAACAAGCACAAGAATACTTTTCTCTGCAAATACTTTGATTAATCCCTTATATGCAAAGCAGATTACAGGCTTCTTTGTTGAATCGTTAACGTCTACAAGCACTCAAATTGATGCTTCAGTAGGAACTCTTATTGTAACAAACCCAACTCCAGGAAGTTTAGGAGTTGCGTTAGCATCTGCAACATCAGTAGTAGGAGCTACCGATACATTGACTATCACCTTAACTATGGTTAATAATATCCCTTCAAATGGAATTGTGCATATTACTCTTCCAAAATGGAACCCGTCAAGTCCAGCTCCTCAATCAATATTTAATTCGGCTAATGCAACATGCATTGAAGTTACAAATGTTAGCGGAATAAATTGCACTACAATAAGAAACTTAAATGGAAATTTTAACCAAGATAAACTTCTTGTGCAAGGAACTTTCAACATCCCAACTGGGAATACTGTTGCATTCAATATCACAAATTATCTAAATCCTCCCTCTTTTGAGCCATTCACATTCATCTCAGTCTATACTACCACTGATAATCAGAATAATATCCTTGATCAAAATGATGCAGTGATTCTGACAATGTCTACAGCTGCAACTCTTCCTGTTGCAAATGTAAATATTACTGCTGCAAATACAGAAACTAACCAGATAACTTCTTATAATTTCAGTGTGCAGGTGACTAACCCATTGCCTTTGAACTCAAGAATAGAGATTACGATTCCTGCAGAAATTACGATAACAACAACCTCTCCTACCGGAATTGGGATTGGTAAAATATCTTCCAGGTTTAGTACTTTTTATGATAGCACCTCAAGAGTTCTCCAACTGACAGACATTATCGATAGTGTTTCTAATTATGTTTATTCAAATGAAATCATATCTTTTGTGATCCAGAATATTAAAAATCCTCCAACTACAGCTCCGACAGGCACGATTACAATACTTACCCTGGCTGGTGTTGGCTATAATATTGAAACTAACACAAATCCGATAACCTTTACAGCTACAGGAGGTAATATACAAACGTTTACAATTACCCCAAGCTTGACATCAATCAGTCATAGAGTCCAATATGAATATACTTTTGTAACTGAGAATCCGATTTCTATTGGATCTTCCTTGACGATTACTTACCCTGCAGAGATTTCTCCTGGAGAAAGGACCAATGAAGCTTGTGTCACATTAGCAACGAATATCAATACAGCAGCTGTTTGTAATAATATAACAGCTTTTGCCATCCAGATCACTGGCGGATTCACCGCAGCTGTGGCGAGTGGAACATCTATTGTGTTTACGATAGGGGGAAATAAAAATCCTCCAACTGTTCAGCCAAGTAGTGGATTTTTAGCAGTCTTCCAAGATAGTTCTGGAAATATAATTGACTCATATACAGCATCAGATACAGCTGTGACCATTACTTCTTCTACAGATAGTTTTGAATCTTTCACAGTCACACCTGGATCTACTGTTACAGGAGCAACAACAAGTTATACATTTGCTATGGATGCAACAGTTGGAGTCTTATTAAATAGTGTTTTCAGTTTGGTTATACCTGCAGATTTTATTATTACTGACATTGAAGCAACAAGAAGTTCTTGTATGTCAAACAGTGGGTTTAATGCTGGATTCACTTGAGCTTTGGTTTTAAACACTGACTCTACACACACTCTGACAATCACAGGAGGATTTCCAGCAACAGCTATCAATGGACTAACTCTCAATTTTACGATTGGAAATATTAGAAATCCAAGATCTACAACTCCTTCTCTATCTTTTAAAGCATATATCAATGATGAAAATAACTATGGCCAATATGCAACGGAGAGTGGTGTAATAGTATTAATGGTCACTCCTTCAGACTTTACAAATGTTGCTCTAACAAGAAGTAGCACAGTTAATGCTGAGTTTACTTCATATACTTTTACAATAACCTTGAACAACCAAATTACAAATGGAGACTATATTCAAGTAATTTTTCCAACTGAAATCCTTGTACAAAGCACCCCAGTTCAATGTACAGGAGTGACTAATCTCCAAGCTAGCCTTGTATGTTCTGTTAATGGACAAACAGTAGATATGCAAATTGCTCTCAGCACTGGGTTGACAATTCTCCCAACTACTGTTGGAGCAACAGATACTTCTATATCTTTCAGCATAAACAATGTGAGGAACCCATATCTTTTATCAACCACTGCTACTGGCATCATTATTAATTCGTACACAAATACAAAGAAGTATCTAATTGATAGAAGAAACCCAGCAATGACTGTTACCAACACAGCTGCAGGCTCAATCATCGAATCATCTGTAGTTCCTGTGAACAGTGCTCTTGGAATCACAACAGATTATCTGATCAGTTTTAAGCCAAATAACGATATCCTCCAAAATACTATTGTTAAGTTAACAATTCCTTCTGAATTGGTTATTAATACGACTGTACCTTTTACATGTACAAGGGTTTTGGTTATAGAATCAACATTGACCTGCACTTATAATGATGCAACCAGGGTTGTCACCTTGACTGATGGGTTCTTGACCAGAGCTGTCTATGAATCATCCCAGATTGAGTTTAAGATAACAAGTATTATCAATCCAAGTGAAGCTATAACAACTAGTACATTTTCGATTATTACCGAGGACCCAAGTGGAGTTTTATATAACTCCAAAACTAGCGGAATCACATATACCAAACAGTGTAATTCTCCCTGCCTGACATGACAAAAAGATTTAACGACATGCACATCTTGAAACACGTCCTCTACTACTGCCTATCTTTCAGGAGGAACTTGAGTAGCTTCCTGTCCATCTGGAGAATATAATGATAATTTTGTTTGACAAGCATGCCAAGCTCCTTGAGCTACATGTAATGTATCTGCCACAAACTGTATATTATGTACCTCTGATCCCCAACTCTATCTCTTAGATAGTAAATGAGTAGATTCTTGTCCAAGGCTCTACGAAATAGGCTCTGATGGTGTCTCCTGTGATAAGGTTGGAGAACTCACCATCCCATTCATCGGCCTCGGACTCTGGCTTCTCACAGCAGCCGTTTTAGGATGTATCAAAGCTGCCAACAAAACCACAATGTTTCTGTCTTCATTCATTGCCTTCACATGTTACTTGCTTGCGTTGCTGCAGATTGTGTTGTTCTCACTGTTGTACAGAGACGAGCACTACCAGTCTGGGTCGATGGTCTTGCTGTCGTTTGTGATCTTGGTGGTCCTGAACATCTGCTGGAACTGAATCATCTACAAGCCCGAGATCAGACCAGACATTTTGTACAGAGTGTGGACAGAAGCATTCCCTAAAACAGAAAAGTTTGTGTACATGTCTTCGTACTTGTTCTGATTCCAGTGTTTCAGACTGTCGTTCTGTCAACTTGCAGGCCGTCCGAGATACGATGCAAGCATGAAGAATGTTGACATGATACTGATCAAGCTGAACAGGTTCTCGTTTTTCCACATTTTGCTGGTGGTGTTTCCAACAATAGCAGCATGCATTTACAACTTGTTCTGGACAAGGTATCTCAGACAAGTGTTCTGGCACGACATCGAAATGATTGTCATCATGACAGGCTTCGTTGTCATTGTGGTTCTTGATGTCTGGATGAAAGATGAGTCAGCACTTGAAGAAAATTATGTTGACAAGAAAGAGTTCTCTAAGAACATTGACATCACAGATAAGTCTTTGTTGACACACACTATTCTGAACACAAAAGACGAGATTGCTACTTCAAGATATTTCAAGAAGGATTATGAAATCCATGGAAGAGAATGTGAAGAAGACGTTGTCAGAGAAGTCTATCACAATCACTTCAAACACAGCGCAATCCCCAGAGTTATGGATTTTGACAACCTCATACACAAAGTGCAAGACGGCGAAGTTGTTTCTCAGCACTCAATCGAAGGAATCAAAAAAGAATGCAACATGCTAGACCCATTCAAAGAGAAGTATCAAGAAATGTCACCCAAGAAGCCTCAGATATCGATGGGAGCCAATGCAGGTAATATTAGGTTTAACAATAGGCAACAACTACAAAACTTCCAACGAAACAGACACTCGTAAATAAGAACTATTTGGTCGAACAAAGCAGCCAGTCATTGAGAAGTCACAGAAGCACCAATAGCCAAAGATTAGATCAGTCAGACACTTCAAGCGAAGAAAGTAAAGGAAGCGGCTCCGACAGCAGAGCCACAGAGTCAGTCACCAGAGATATGATGAACACCATCGACCCCAAACACAGTTTCAACAGAATTGATGCTGAAGTCGAAAGCAGTGCAGTCATCAACGCAAGAGCTGAGCTCAGCGCCCAAATCGCCCGCAAAGACAGACTCGAAGGCGAGTCTGAAGAACTCGGCAAAGCCATTCTTGACTTGAAAGACCAGATCAACGAAATTGAAAAACAGAAGTTGAAGATAAAGCTTGAGAGACGTGACCAAAGAAATACCCAACACACAAACAAGACTAGCAACAAGAATAAGCGAAGCACTGAAACTCAGTATTTGAGAACAGACCCTCAGAATGATAAAGCGATGAGAACAGTCAAAGACAATGTTGACGCTAGCTTGAAAGTGCAGGACACAGCCAACCAGTGGCTCAAGAAGAATGAAAGACTCGTAAGTGCATTTGTTCATCGATAGCTGACACCCAACACAAAGAAGAAGACAGGTGATCCCAGTGTTGAAATCCAGAGTGAAGGCAGCAGTGAGTCTGGTAGAAACAAGTCGTCAGCCCGCACTCAGAAGAAATATGACACTCTGATAGGTCCAAGCATGAAAGACTCCAAGAACAAGCCAAGGCGCAAAACAGACTCGAGTGTGGCATCTTCGTCATCATCAGAAATATCTTCGAGCATTTCATCAGACAACATTTCTAGTTTCTCAGAGAGTGCAAAGAACAGCACTCGCAGAAACCTCGAGAAGACAACTGAGCTTTATCGTGACACAAAACCTCAACTCTCACGAACTCCAAAGAAAGGCAAGAAGAAGCTCAAGAAGTCTGGAGTCCGGAAGCCAGGAAAGCTGAATTTCTACCAAGGACAGGACTCAGGTTCGGAGATATCAGCTCAGCCGAAGGCAAAGAAGATCAGGCCAAGAAGAAGGAGAAAGAAAAAGATTAACTAGAACATTAACAAGTAAATGACTCTTTAAATTCAATTTATTAATTATTGCGAGGGGTTTTGGGGTTTTGGGGTTTTGGGGTTTTGGGG